TTTTGGTACCCTCAGGAGCAACTGATCAGCTGACCTGAGAGTGCGAGTTGGCGTGTAGCTGTGTAACAGCTCAGAGAGGTAGGGCCAGGCCATTGAGGGCTTTAAAAGTAAATAAAAGAGTTTTAAAATAAATCCTCGAATGAACGGGCAGCCAGTGGAGTGAAGATAAAATGGGGGGTAATGTGCTTGTGTTTGCGTTGTGCCAGTTAGTAGCCATGCTGCTGCATTTTGCACCATCTGCAGGCGAGCAAGGGAGGACGCACTTATCCCCATATATAGTGCATTACAATAATCCAAGCGGGAGGTGACGAAGGCATGGATTACCGTTTCAAAGAGGTCACTATTTAAAAAAGGCTTTATTTTGGCTAGCTACCTGAGGTGGAAGAAGCTGTTTTTAACAACTGCCTTGATCTGGCTGTCCAGCTTGAGTTCAGGGTCCATCTTTATCCCAAGATTTGTGATGGTAGGCCTGGTGGAGTGGTCCAAGGATCCTAGGTCTATAGGAGTGGTCCGAGGGGCACCAAAAACCATCACTTCGTCACTTTGACACTTTTGTCATCATTTAATTTGAAAAATGTGCATGACATCCAGGATTTCATGTCTTCAAGGCAGTTTAACAGTGGTTTAACTGAATATGAGTCGTTCTTTTTAAGTGGCACATATATTTGGCAATCGTCTGCATAGCAATGGAAAGCGATACCGTGCTTCCTAAGAATGGACCCAAGAGGGAACAAATGGAGAATAACAGGGGGCCTAACACTGAGCCCTGTGGAACCCCACAAAGGAGAGGAGCAGACGAGGACTCAGAGTCCCCAAGGCTGACGCAGAAAGTCCTACCAGTCAGATACGACCTAAACCATTCGAGGGCTTTGCCCCTAATGCCCACCCACTGCTCCTCGATGACACCGTTCTTCTCCATCCTCTGCAGTTCCTCTTTTACCATCTGTAACATTGGGAAGGGCACACAACATGCTGTATGCACAGCATATGGTTGAGTCCCATCCTTTAATTGGATTTTAGGTTCAGTTTTTAGTGTGCCGTGCTCACCATAGGCTTGAAGGTGTTCACTGGTAGTGAATTTCAATTCATCAACACGCCTTACCAGGTTCATCTCCACTGACAGATCCCGGCTGAGTAGGTTATTGACACTCTAGCCATGGACTACATATGCTTCAAATAGGTAGTTATTTATTTCCCTTGTAACTAACTGTAGCATTAAAGCGTCCCAGACACAACAGTTCACCTCCTGGGCTGTCAGCTGGTTTCAGTGTTTTGGTGAAGTGAGTGTGTGAAATGCATCCTCACATAAGACGCTGACATAAGCTCCTGTGTCCATTTTAAATTCCATTGGAATAGAATCCACCTGGAGCTGTACTGTCCACTGCTCTTTCTCCTCTGCACTGCACACTGAGCCTAAGAAATAAGGGGTCTGCTCAGCCTGTACAGTCCCTGTGACCTCATTCACTGATCTATTGCTGTTTCAGCACACTCTGGCCCAATGTCCTATTCTATTGCACTTGTGGCATGTAGCTTTAGCTGCAGGACACCCTTCTTCCTTGCTATGCTGTGATTTCCCACATTTCCTTTCACTTCCCCCCCCATTTTCTGTCTTTTGACTTGCCTTGATGTTGTTGAGGTTTCCATATGTAATTGTTTTCTTTGAATCTCACCTCCTGTACTGAACCCACTGTGTCTTCCTGCAAACTCACTTGTGCTGCGACCTCCTCTGACTGCCTGACGGTCCGTATCGTCAGTGCTAGTGTTAGGTCCACCGTTAGCTGCAGCCTGCGCGAGAGCTTTCTGTCTCGTATCCCGACGACAATTCGGTCGCGGATATTCTCATCTCGGCTTGCGCCAAACTCACAGTGTTCTGATAGATCATACAGGGCTCGGATGAAACCCTCTGCCTTCTCCCCTGGCCGCTGGACCCACTGGTGGAAACATGCCCTCTCGTGGATAACGTTTCTCCTCGGGAAAAAGTACTCGTTGAAATTTCCCACCACAACGGCAAAGTCATCGCCGTCATCTTCTTCGGCAAAAGTGAACGACTTAAATATGTTTTCTGCCTCGTTGCCCATGGCATAAATCAGGCAGTTCACCTGCACTCTCCCGTCATCTTTGTCGAGTTTAGTAGCGAGTCTGTAACGCTCAAAGCGTTGCCTCCATTCTGGCCATTCAGTCGGTTTATCAAAAGAAAAGTTTGCTGGGGGATTAAACTTGGCCATTCCGCCGTCTATATTCCTTTACTTTGTCTTATTTATTTCCTGTGACTCACCGGTCACTTCTGACACCATGTAGAATGATCGAGGGTCGAGTATCATTTACGACTCAGGTTTATTCAACAGTAAGTCAAGACATTACAGTAGGCCGAAACATAACAACTGGCGGGCTTACTCCGAAGTAAAGCAGTCCTTCCCATGCCGTAAAGCATGTTGCAATACTGTCGTAACAGCCTTAACTCTGTATGCATTGCAGGCATATGTGACAACCGCCCTTGAGGACCCAGGTTAGATTCCGGTGTCAGTACCAGATATGTTCGGGCTACCAGATATGTTCGGGTGTATTTCCGTCGCATCCGTCATCCGTCATATCTGTCTACTCACCTCCCTCTGCTCCCAGCGCTCTGCTGCCACACCGGCCGTCTGCGGAACTGCAGCCGGAAGAACTCGGTACAGCTTGTTATGTGTGTGTACTTGTGCACATAAATAATGTTTCTAATTATTTTAATTAAAAAATATATATATTCTGCGTTACTTTAGCCAACACTTTTATAATATATAAGCCTGATCATGTCGTTGAAAGCAAGTACAGATGTTCTCCCTTTTCCACAGTTCTGTGTGAACTTCATCTAAGGCAGATGCTTTGCTTCTGCACTAGTTTAGCAAAAGTCTGTTTTGTAAGACTGGTTTTGTTGCAGTCTGTTCATGCTATGTGTTTCTTGCGTAAGACTATATACACACGGAACACATGTATTACAGGGCTGTACCCAGTGTGCTTCATAAAACATTTTTGAAGCTTATTTTTTTAAATTAAGCCGTTTCCATGTTATAACAGCATCTCGTTAAATCAATATCGGAAACAATAATTGTTTTTTTGTGGTTGTTTAAATGTAATTTATGGTGCTGTTAGAGTGCTTATGTCTATTTATTGTGGTGAAAATGTTGTTTAAAAAAACCCCTAACATATATGGATTGAATCAGAATATTGTGTTGGATCAAAACATATTGTACATTTTGAGAATTCTTACATCTATTACAATACATTTTGAGCTTTGGACAATGTTTGGATCAAACGAGCCAGAAACAACCTTAAGCAGCCACCACTGGAATATTATTGCAGTAATATTATAATACTAGTAGCCTTATATTAGTGTAGCCTAATATTGATCGACAAATATTTAGAAATAAATCTGGTTCTTCCTGCCTGCCTCATCGCACTCTGCCCTGCTGCATTACCATGTATAGTATTTACATTCATAATGATCCTTTTTTGTTGGAGAGCTTTAGAGGCTTTAAGAGACGAACTGTCAATGATGCCAACTTGGCGACCTACAAACTAGATATAGCAATCTTGGAGCTATTGCGGCTAGCTACTTTCATTGGAAAGAATTTCGCGGTCATTATGGGGAAGCGGAGGGATCTAGATCGTTCACACATAACAAGCTGTACCGAGTTCCTCCGGCTGCAGTTCCGCAGACGGCCGGTGTGTGGCAGCAGAGCGCTGGGAGCAGAGGGAGGTGAGTAGACGGATATGACGGATGACGGATGCGACGGAAATACACCCGAACATATCTGGTAGCCCGAACATATCTGGTACTGACACCCATAGATATATATAAACTAGGGCTGTCAAGTTAACGCGTTAATAACGCAAAAAAAAATTAACGCCACTAATTATTTTAACGCGATTAACGCATGTGTATTTTTTTTCCTCGGCCGCCCCGTAGTTTCAGAGCGCATCGAGTTTAAAATACCATCTACAAGCTGATGCTGACAGCCCCGCTCCTGCCGCAGACCACACTTCCACGCTCACCGGCAGGCACCGACTGGCTATTGGGAGGACCGGGAGGGTGTGTGTATGTGTGTGGCCCGAGCGAGCGAGAGAGAGACCTTGTTGCTGTTAGCATCTGGTGCTAGCTAGCTGCGCTTACGGATATGGAGCTGTTTAAATGAAAACAGAGGAGCGACATTTCGCCACAACTGCGCCGAGCACTTAACTTTATGCAGGAAGCCAGACAGTGGGACATTGTACGAAAAGTCAGCACATTCAGCACGGATAGTGCGCGCAACATGATTGCAGCGTCCAGGCAGCTCCCATTCGAGCATATGCCTTGAGTTGCACATAGCTCCAACGAGCCAACACACACACACACACACACACACACACACACACACACACACACACACACACACACACACACACACACACACACACACACACACACACACACACACACACACACCACACACACACACACACACACACACACACAACACACACACACACACACCACACACACACACACACACACACACACACACACACACACACACACACACACACACACACACACACACACAACACACACACACACACACACACACACCACACACACACACACACACACACACACACACACACACAACAACACACACACACACACACACACACAACACACACACACACACACACAGTATTGTATTATTGTATGAGAGAGGTTCCAGGTTGAATTGAGGCGAATATTTGTAATGTTCAGAGGTTGTTGTGTTTAATATTCATGAGGATATTTGTCATTGTTAAAATGATAATAAACATTAGCATAAAGCATATTATTTGTCCACTCATATGTTGATAAGAGTATTAAAAACTTGAAAAATATTCCTCTAAGGTACATTTAGAACAGATCAAAAATGTGCGATTAATTTGCGATTAATCGCGATTAACTATGGACAATCATGCGATTAATCGCGATTAAATATTTTAATCGACTGACAGCCCTAATATAAACACTAGATGGCTCATGGGAGATTTTCCAGCGTAGCTGACCGGCCGCCATCTTCCTACAGTTAACAGTTACTCTGATTCGCGTTATGGTAGCTGTTGTAAGGTGAGTGATCTGCACAAAAATACTCTTAACTCGCTGAAATCTTGACTGATTTACAAACGGTTTGGTTTATTATAAACATTATTAGCATGGCTATGATACAGGATGCTTGGACATGTTGAAATTGCAGCTTTTCTTTGTGTATGTGGTTGTATTTATTAGCTGGCTAATAACAAGAGGCTGTGAGTGAGACCTAGTATTACAAAGTTGACCCAGCAACTTTACACCAGTGGGAGAGGCAGAACTGCTCTTTCTTTTCAACATAACTTAAGTTACACATGATTTCTTCCAAGTGGTTTGGCTTGTTAAAAACATCTTGCATTATGATACAGGAATTTGCTGGCTTTGTGTTTACAGAAGTACCTGACTATGCCGGACTTTTGTGCAGCCTACGGATGCTCTAATCACCGCAGTCTGCAAACAAGAACCCGTGGGATCACCTTTCACATGTAAGATATGACAATATTATGACTAAAATTAGGATAATCGTTAATTACTTAGTGGATGTATGTACATTACAAGTCCTGCTACACAGGATCAGTGGGGCTATGTGAGATAATAGTATTGCAAGATTGTTGTTGACTCAGCCTCTTTAGAATATGTTGTTATATTTCTTTACACAATTATTTAATGTTTCTTTTGGACACCTTTTTTATTACTCTTAGTGTGGTTGTCTTATTCTTAAAGTAGGCTATACATACATGCATACATACCAAAAATATGATAATTTCGGTGTGTATTTTTGTCCTTACCCTAAATGTTAAAGGAAAGAAGGGAGGAAAATGTTGACAATAATTTATATATCTGGCTACCTTTCTCATGTTTTTAAGGTTTCCCAAAACCGAAGAGAGGAGGAGGCAGTGGGAACTCGCCCTAAGAAGGGACGGTTTTGTTTCCTGTGACAGGACAGTAACAGTCTGACCCGTTGTTGGGCCAAGCTGTTTTGTGCATATAATTTTACTTACTTGCAGTTACAAATAAACCGCTGGTAACACATACCAATTCTACTCTGGTCGTGTCGTTTCCCTTTGTACCCCTCGCCAAGAAGGAACGTAACAACATGTGTTACGTGCCGTAGTGGGTGCTTGTGTGTCTCCCTCTCTTTCCCCCTGATGTTTCTTCTTCTTCTTCTTCTTCTTTGTTTAATGGCGAATCGCTACCACTAGGAGCATATATCGCCACCTACTATCTATTTATTAAATCTTCATGTTCCATGAGACGCAGCACTATGTTCCCCACATATGTTTATGTTTGCTCAGTCTAATAAACCCATAACATGGTTGTGAAAGAATACCAAAGCTTAGGCTGGACGATGATTGATTGTTGGTGTGCCATGTGTCACCGTGTGTCTTATTGGTTTTGTGTTATACTGTATTTTATTGTGTGCAGCTGGTCCTTATCTCCAAGACACATTTAAAACAAATAACCTTGAACCTTGAAGCCCCATCTCTCCCCACCTGCTCCTGCTTCCTACATCCCCTCCACACCACACCAAGTTGTTCTTCTTAATAATAATAATAATACATTTATTTTGGGAGGCCGCCTTTCCCAAGGACCCAAGGACACCTTACAGGGGCATAGGGGCAATATAGGGAACAATTTAAACAGTGGATTTTGTGATATATCAGCCGGGGTGAGACAAGACAAACCACAAATGGACTACAGAAGGACACAAGGTACAGTTTATATTATTCTTGGTCTTTTTTCAATAACAGATTTCAAAGGTTCTGGATTTGTTTACAAATCTAGAAACTAAATACAAAACTAGTATAGTAATATGAAGATCTCATGTCAAAAATAATTGTGATAAATTAGACAGAACTGGCCTGTCTGTGAGCACATTTTATGTTGGTTTGGTTCTTCTGATAAAGGTGTGAATATCTAAATAATATACCAACATATGCTATTGTCATTAGTTGTGTCCCTGTTCTTAAAGCTAAGGCATTGCTAAATTAACAACTCTTGGCTTACAGTGTGGTAACATGAGACCGATTTTTATATATAAAATATAAATGTATTTTAATTTTATAATTTATTTTAAATATTAACAATATAATAAATGGAAATATATACACCGGCAAATATTTAATATAAATACCTTGTGTGTGTATAGCTATTGCTTTATCTGATTAATGTTATTTTCATATGAAAGTCCATGATTATAAGTATGCAGTATCATAACTACATCTTTGATGTTTATAAAAAACCAAACCGTTTGAAAATTGGTTGAAAATTGAGCAAGCTATGGTTATTTAAATAGTAAACCATAATGTTATGAATGAGAGAACTCCCTGTAGCAAGATGGCGGCCAAGTGGCAACGTCGGTCTCCATTGGCCAGCAGCGCGGGTGAGTCATCTAGTGTTTATATATATCTATGCTGACACCGGCCCAAAACATTTATTTAAAAAAAAATTATAATAATAATAATCTCCCGTTCATCGCGCCCTTCGCAACCCACCTATCACATCTCTGCCCCACACTTTGAGAAACGGTCCCTAAGCACTCCTCTCTCCTCCAGCTGCAGTGCCACAGTGACGCGTCCTAAAATCTAATCGATAGATTTATGATTAGAAAATTATAAAAGTAGGGTAGACATGTGGAGATTATCCGACTGAACAAAACGTGACCCGTCTCTTATGTGTGTCAACCACAGACCTTATTTCAAGCTATTTTCCAAAATCCTATGGAGAAATTGCATTGCTTTTTTTGTCGAAGGAACCCATGCGCAGCTTACTTCCGGGTTTTAGGACGCGTCACTGTGGCACTCTATTGTGACCAATTCTTGATGTTTAGCTCGGATGACGGCGCGTATCGAACTGTTCTGATAAAAACGACCCTGTACCTGCTATGATTGTAAAGTCATGTTGTTTGTATTTTTACAATGTTATGTTTATGAGTTATTGATCCGCGAAATTTGAATCTGTCAATAACTCCGCTCAGATTATGCTTTGCGACGTCCTCGCTCTGAGTGTTCTCTTGAGGTGTCTTTCACTTATGTGAAACCCGTGCCTGTTGCCAGGCACTGATGTTATATCTTTATATTTTAGACCAAGCTCTAAGTAAAAATCGATGAACCGCTCCATTGTTGTGGTTTCTGTGTTGCCGAACTGACCCGGAAATACATTGAGCTAAATGAAAAGTTTTGCGAGATCTCTCAACATTTTTTTTGTAAAAACAAATGTATACCAACATTTTTTCATCTCCATGTCCCCTGGGCTCCGTAGCAGTCAGACAGACTTCGAGCAATAAAAGAGATTGGCATTTTAGTTCCATTATGCTTTAACAGCATATTTGGGCTTGGGCAAGCAACAACTTTTTGAAGCACATTGATTACTTTCTTAAAGAACACAATTGTCAATGGCATGTGAGGTGGCAGGGAGGTTATTACATTTTTCTCCATTGTTTATAGTTTATACAAATGAATTATTCTTCATAAACAGCTAAAGTGTTCAGTTAGGGAAACAGGAAATAAAGAACAATGTTAATCTCTCAAAAATATATCAGCAAAAACAACATACTGACTATTTAAACATTTTAAAAACTCACAAGCATATTCTTCATTTTAATGCAGTATAACCCAAAATGAGGGCACCTTAAAGAAAACACATTGCTCATCAGCTGAATGTTTGCGTTTAACTTATTTGACGAAAGGAAGTGTTCAATAAGTGGGGTTCTATCAGTTATCTATTCATTTCTTATAAGTTGGTGATAATGTCTTATTTAAAGTCTGCACCATTTGTAGCCAAAAACAAAGGGAGGTTTCAGCACACTGCAACCGTTAACCTTATCAAACAGAAAAGCTTTCAGTCACACACCTATTTATCAGAGCAGGACAGACACAGACAGCAGTACATACATCACAGGTATAATTCATCAGTGAGGAGGAGGAGGCTTTGTTTTGACAACAAGCAGTGCCATTAATTTGCTATGCATTTTATAATACAGCCAACCAGCCTTCAGACCGACACTTGCAGTATCAATTAAGGTTGCAACAAATAAGAATTTCATAACTGATTAATAATCTAGCTTTAAATTGGAAAATAATGACATGTGCAAATCACCAACTCCTAAATCCCAAGATGCTGATTTCAAATGGTTTATTTTTTGTATGACCAGGACTTTGAGACCCAAAGATATTTAGTTTTCTATTAAAAATGAAAACAAAAAGCTTCATACATTGGAGAAGCTAGCCAAACACACTATGTTCAAGTAAAAAAAACAAAGATATCCCGCTATATAAAACCATAACATTTAATATCTTAAACCCTTTTTTTTTTACCCAATAAGTGACACAATGATATGAGCTTAATCTTACAGCATGGGTACTCACTGGGAAATGGTAACACTCTACTTTCTGAAAATGTGGGATAAATCCCAGAACTGCCAAACAGTTTTTGACAAACCACTCTATGTTTAAATGTAGGCTACGCTACTTTGGGCAAACACGTGGTCAATACCACATGCGACATAAACGGAACAATATTCAGGCCTTACCTGTAGGAGGCACGTTATTATTTAAGAAGAAATAGTCTTTGCCTTCAGAGCTTTAAAAGCAACATAATTTAAGCCTAATGCGGATAAAAGATTAGAAGAAAGAAGAGAACATTTATAAAGGTGTACAGTTGAGTTTATTGGTAAAGTCTCCTTCAAAGTTAAATAAACGTAATTCATGTTGTTTGGGAACATGTTTGGGGACATGGACGATTTAATCTCCCTGAAACAATATGAGGGATTTCAAAAGTCAACAATAGTTAACTATTAATCCCAATAAACCAGCCATTTATGAGGTAAGATTTTTACTAAGTCACATAACACCTTGATTTAAGTGTATGCTTTAGTTAACGCGGTGCAGTGCAGGTACTGTACCTGCGGTGAGCTGGGCGACAGACAGGAAGATCAACGCCGCTTCAACGCTCTGCTTCCCGGGACGAACCATGGCGAGAGCCGCATCTGCTCCGAGTCAGACCCTCCGTCACACAGCTAGTCTACAACAACACACACCATCTCTCATTGCGGTAATGTCCGTGGTGCATGCATCTCTTAAAAATGCTCCTCAGTAAATGCGGAGAGGGAAGTGTGTTCGCAGAGAGGTTTGCTCCGCCTCTGTTGACGGGAATTTAAAAGGATTAGTGCTGCAGACCTCTGATAAAGACATGTGAACGAGAGCCAGGGAGAAGTGTGTTGCACATCCTTTTAACAGAGGACATTATTGAATCCAGAGTGTTACAACGACAGTAGGAACAAACAGCAAAGGTAATGTGTATGCCAATATACTAGCTACATCAATATTTTGTCTACTTGGATGTTTTCAAATGACCTTTTTTACCAGTTTGTGGGCACTTGGTCAAGGTAAGATGCTGCTGTTCCATTTATTGTACAATTACCCTATCTCCTCTAAATTCCCATTAGTAGAGTGCACATAGCAGATTAGAAGACCATTTTGTAATTTAACCAGGGATATTTCGGTATTCCTGTGCTGGAATAATACCTGCTTGGAGTTATCCGTCAGTAAATTTGTTCTCGTTTGAAGGAATACATATCGTATGAGCACATTAAAAAATAAAACAACATCTTGAATCTTGTTTTTCACACATAAATCATCTGTAGAACAGGGCTGCAAGATCAGGCAATAATGTGGGACCAAATAGTACTGCACTTTGGAGGTATGAACTCATTTTAAAGTTTGTTTGATTGGCAGTTTCCAACTTCACCTGGTTGGTATCCAGCCATCTCCTGCTCCCCTGTTGCCTTTACAATTCCTCTCACTGGAGGAGAGCAGCAAAACAGAATAACCCAACAGCACTGCTAACATCCCATCCAACCAAGCAGAGAGTAAACACAGGAAGTCTGCTTTACATTAAGCTCAATGTAGATGTTATAGCTCAACTCACCTGCATGTAATACGTTATTTACTGCAGGCCATATGGGACCAAGCTGCTTGGGCTCCATAGCAACAACAGGTGCCAGTGTCACCAGGGAGAATGAATAAACTGTCACATGAGCACAACATTTACCGTTTCCATTTAAGTACAGCAAAGTCTGCAGTCTATGTGTAGTATATAGTGATACATTACATATTCTACTTCACCATCAACTAACACATCTATATCTACAATTAGTGATTTCAGGAACTTTGTTTCCGTCCTGGGATAATACTGTGACATGTGTATGAATAATCCAGATCGATTTTTTTTGTTTTCAAGTTAGCCATACCATTTTTTTCTCGCAATGATTCATAAACAGATCATATCTTTCCTTGTCTAAGTTGTTAGTACATAGAAGTTCACAGCATGTTTACAAATCCATTGGAAAAATGGGTAAAACACGATGGGATTTAGAAACTGGAGTCTAACCTTTGTGTTCTGTAAGTGCAGGATGGATCAAATGACACTGAATATAGAGACACACTACGTAGAAAGCCTGAACGCTGTTGATAAAAGCAAGCAGTCTCAGCACGGTCAGACCTCTACCTACTGTTTGTGTCATCTGGCTCATAACTCCCCTCGCATATTAATCAGTCTGAGAAACATTAGGGGCCCAGTTTCTGTTTGACATCTACCAAGATACCTGCTGCACAAGCCGTTTCAGTTTACAGCTGGCAGGGAAAACCCCTTTGCTTTTGACATTTTCTTGATGAATTGAATTATCAGTGAAGATGTCAAGCTTTATGCAGCAAAGAGGTATACATAAATGCACATTAGTCAAAAATAAAGGCTGGAATATAAATGTGAGTTTTAGCTTCCTTTGTAAATCCTGCACGTTGCACATTTCTTCTCCAACCTACCTCTTTTAAATCAGCACAGCTCTCCACTTTAAATACAGTATTTAAGTATTTGTCATATCTTATTATATTTGACTGAACCTTTTTGCTCACATTATATTTTGTGTAAATATTGTTAACTTGTTATAATAATCTCAAAATAGTGTTTTTAAATAACTGTTATAACAGTACAATTGTATTTTATTTCGTCTTTGTATGCACCACGTATACCAAAGCAAATTCCTCATATGTGTAAACCTGCTTGGTAATAAAACCGATTCTGATTCTTTGGAAAGGTACATGACTGAATAGTTAGAAGGGGATAGATGGGGCTTGATTTGAAACCGGTTGAGAGTACTTAAAACAACATTAATTATATTAAAGCTCCTCAAAAATAAACAAGTTACCTAGTAGAAACAGCTGATATATTACAGGGAAAAGGTTATATGGTCAAATATAACACCACAAAATGATATTTCAGGCTTGACCAAAGTGGAGAATCATTAAATAAATACATCCACTGGATAGAGCAACAAGACAAATGAGACAAATAAAACACTTTTTTTCTTCTATTTAATTATAATAAATCACTAATTGATATAAAATGTTAAAGAAATAAAAAAGGCTGAAGTTTGACTTCATTTACTTGACAATGCACGCCTTAAGACAACAATGCACGCGTTAAGACAGTATACAGGCTTTACAGGCTTACGTACAGCCTCTGGAGGAATAGAGTTCAGTATCTAGCAGATATTTGATTTGTTCTTTTAGCATTTGTCTCTGTAAAGCTGAAGAAACAAAACATAGAACAGGTAATTCAATGTAAAATGAATGGTGATATACAAAAGGTTTGCAACAAGGTACCTTTAGTTGGACGATATCTCAGGAAAACAACAGTGCCATCGATGCAGCTGTACACACTAAACGTTAAGGGATGAGTGAGATCCCAGGAATCCTGTTCAGACAGCATTGTAAACAGGTGCATGACACAAAGTAAAACATCACACTGCTCGCTGTAGTCTCCTTTTAAGAAAGTATGCAGACTTAATTAGCAAATAAAGTTGGCATGTTCTTTTGCAAAGGAATCCACCGTTATGCAAATGGTGAATAAAGTACAATTTAAAAGAGAAAGTGAAAATGCTAATATGTTCAGACATTTTTTAAACAAAAAAATGTGTCAAAATCTGCAGTTCTAACAAAAGCGAGCCTACTCAAATGCCCAGGTAACAGTTTCTTCCTCGGAGAACATTGCTAACAGTCCAGCTCCTATGTCACAAGTTGAATAGATATATTTTCCTATCTCCAAGACCTTTGGCAGTCTCGGAAATGCCCGGTAAGCCATCTTTGGATGCCAAAATGTGTCCCGTCAAGTGTTTTTTAAATAAATATAGGTTTGTGTGCCACTATAAGGGCACTGAACCCATCAAGTCTCTTGTCTTGTGAGATGTCTCCAGGATGGTCCACCCTCTGGTTGTCTTCAGTATGTCTACCTCTTCTTCTCAAGGCAGGCTTAAATGTCTGTTTTGATTTTGTCCAGAGAGTTGTCGATCTTTGTGAGAGTCTTTTTGATGCGTAACGCCGTTAATCTGGCGGAAGGATTCTGGTACCAGCACTCCTTCATTAGTTTAGCCATGGACAGTAAAGTCTGAAAGTAAATTGAGAAAAAACAAATTAATCATCCGTGTACAAACCAGAATATAACTGAAATGAATGTTGTTGTTTTTTGTATATCCTAAGTATGCAATCTTTGAACACTTCCGACAGCTTGAACATGACTTACGGGGTCTGAAAACCATCTGTTAGGGATGTTGGGCCTCTGCTGATCAACACACACAACCTTCTTCATGTCCTCGAAACTGGGATCACTTGGGACGGCGTCGTGAAAGGGAGGCTTGTATTCTTCTACAATGCCTACAGGTAGAACAGAGCAAGCAGCCATTCAATTTAAAGATCACTCAATTGTTTAAAATAAACTGTAAGAATCTATATTGGCAAATAACTGACACACAAAACACACAAAGGTGTATGAAAACTCTTGATGTGGCATAGCTGTTTTATCCTTTGCTGGCTCTAAAGTGCAGCCGTGGGACAAACAAAGATTAGGTTAGCGTGTTGGGGTAAATCAATATCTGAAGTGTTGCTGAAAGCCCAGTGCCTACTATAAAGCCATAAACCCATTTGACAGTGGTTGTAGCTTTTATTTCACATAAGTCTTCTCCACAGACCACAGGCAGCTGATATTGAAGTGTGTATCAAGGCCAAATCTTTCCATCAACAGCGGGAAAGCTTTTACTTTGTCAGCTTTAAAGCAATGATTCTCTATTCATTCTGAAAAGAACCACAAAATAGACGTTGTAATAAATCGATACTGAAGATAACCTTGACGCTTAAAAATGAAATATTGGAATAATTTCATGATTATTAGGGATGCTCCGATCGCCAATTTTGGGGCCGATCCGATCGAGTGGGTGGGGGCTATGGGGATCTTCCATTTAAAGTGATGTTTAAAACTCAGTTTACATTCACTTTGGATAATAACACCGGAGAAATTAGCGGACAGCCTGTCAGTATCATCTCATGCAGCTCACTGATCCAGTAATGAGTGACCCGACAGTGAAGAATAAATATATTTATAACTAGTTCCAGAGGTAGGTAAAATAGCTAAGTGTGTTAGGTCTAACTCTTAGTGTGTGTTGCTCCGCTCACCGTTCCGTCACAGCGGGTGGAGCTGCAGGATTTCTGCTTCACACAGGTTGCATACCGCTATTTTATTGTCTTTTTCGGACACCTTCAAATACTGCCAGACTGGTGAAGCCATTTTGGCGAGCTTCTTTTGCAGCGCACAGAAAAAGTCTCATGTATTTTACGTCATGTGATCGGCTCTCTTGATCGGCCTTTATAGAGAGCACCGATCGATCGGCAGAGAGTGAATATCGGCCGAACACGATCGGCGGCCGATCGATCGCAGCATCCCTAATGATTATAATAAGTAAATGTTTAAAGGCCCCCTATTATACTGTTTTTCATCAATATATTATAGGTCTCAGATATATACAAAACATGTCTCTGAAGTGTTTGGCTCCAAATACCAAACAGATCATGCATTGTAGCATCCCATAATCCCCTCTGTTTCAGCCCTGTTTCAAAAGTGCTGATTCTGTGTCTGTTACTTTAGATGAAAATAAGGAGCACATCTGAGAGATATTTGGTTAAACAGAACACAATGGTGCCCTAGGGGGAGATTCAGGTGACAAGGTGGGGGGTATCTTGGTTGGTGATT